AAATATTATATTATATATTATATTTTTTTATCTCTGTCTGGCCAATTATTATCAAATGATAAATGTTTGCTGTTGCCGCAACGAAAACACGTTTTCGCTGAGTTTCGAACCGCACGTACCTAATTTCTACCCGGTTAATTTCTGAATTTTCGTATCAAAAGTTTTACTTGATCCTTGCTTATCAAACGAATCAAACTGTTTGTTAACCGTCTTAAGCGTAATAGCAATTGTAATTACTTGTTGAAGTGTTATCGAATCTCCACCTGCCAGGATTTTCTTCCTTAATTCTGAGCTTTGGGCTTTTTCTACGATTTGGTCTATTAAGTGTTCATCTTTAGCTGTAAACTGGCATTTAGGTACCAGCTTGAGTTCGCAACCGTAAAAGGAAAGCTTCAAACCTCTCCCCTTCCTCTTGTTTCATTAGTCTAATAATATCGTTCGTAGTATCTGCTTTGTTTTGTTGAAAAATATTCATTTAATTTTTTGTATAGCAATTTCATAAACGTCAGCGCCATCGATCTCATCGACATGAGCTCCAGGCAAGTTGTAATACACCTCTTGCAATGCAAGCCCACCAACGTGTAATAAATAAGCTCGCTTTTTAATGCTTGTATCAATATTAGCGACCAAAAATTATATGTTTAGTGCTCTTCTCCATTTTTCCCAACGGATTCCTACTGAGACTTGGTTGCCTTCGCACTCAAAATGATCAAGGCCTGGAAACACTGGCAAAAAGTTTACCCTTTTCTGCGCGCAGCCATCGAAACGTACGAACGTGTTCTTCACAGAACACTTCGATATCGTCTTACGATAACGCTAATAAACTGTTCTTTTCAGAACAATATTATCGTATCTTACGAAAACGTTTAACAACTGTCCTTTTCAGGACATATTACCGTGTCTTACGACAGCGATGAAACTGTTCTTTTCAGAACACACGACCGTATCTATTCTGATCTGTTCTTGTCAGAACACATCACTGTATCATTACGACACGTTAACTAATCACCTACAGGTTTATACCCGTATAAATATATCTTCTTTATTTACGAAACATTCATCACGCATACTTTGCACAATAATCTGATCTCAATATCAATGATTATTGTCACTAAACCAAATACGGTCTAATCTAATAAACCTTACTAATAAAAGTAGTCTATCAAATTGATTTTAAAGCATGTACTCAGAATTAGTCTATCTTATTGACTTTAAGAACGTTTTGGCCTGTCATATTGACCTTAACAACATTATCTTAGTCTATCGTATTGACTTTAAGAACGTTTTGGCCTATCATATTGACCTTAACACCATTCTCTTAGTCTATCTTATTGACTTTAAGAACGTTTTGGCCTATCATATTGACCTTAACACCATTCTCTTAGTCTATCTTATTGACTTTAAGAACGTTTTGGCCTATCATATTGACCTTAACACCATTCTCTTAGTCTATCTTATTGACTTTAAGAACGTTTTGGCCTATCATATTGACCTTAACACCATTCTCTTAGTCTATCTTATTGACTTTAAGAACGTTTTGGCCTATCATATTGACCTTACAAAACCACTATCTTTCATATTGATCATGGCTTCTAATGGTAAAGACCTATCTTATTGGCCGTGATAGAAAACATGGGTCTCTCAAATTGACCGGGTTGGGTGTTAAATACCACCGCACTTTTTTGACGATACTAATTATCTAGGAGTGTCCGGGGGACCTTCATTGGAACACCTCCAAGTGAGTTTTGCTCCGGAAACGCGTCTAAATATTTTTATAAAAAATTTAAAGTTTTGTGTAATGTATTAAAATTTGTAAACAATCCGCCATTTTCTACTTTTCTATTGGTTATAAGTGATGTGACGTTCACTTAAAAAAATCGTGTTTTTAATTTATCGATTGTTAATAATCGTTTTATTTATTTATCGATTATTTCCTCATTTTTGAAATTTAAAGTTATAGAATAATCAACATTGAAATTAACCTAATTTCGTGTTGATAGATTATAGGGTTCCGAAATTTTTTGAAATTATCGATACCTACTCGTCTGTATTTTCTAATTAGTACTTGTATTTCATTGTTTGCAACTTTCTATATTATTTAATTTTTACTAGAATAAAGTGTTTACTTTAATATCCAAAAAGTACCCAAAACCGAATCAGAGCACCCCACTATCCACGTGGTCTTGTCTGTCTTACCCCTAGAGTGTATATAAATAATCGGAGGCGCGGAGGAAGAGCAGCCCCCACCCGCTGTAACAAAGCACAGGCATTATGAAAGCTGTAGCGGCTGAGGCTGGTCGCCGAAGGCGACCAAAAAGCCGAGGTTGCGGAGGCTTGAATAAAATGCCTGTGCTTTGGTACGCAAGGGTGGAGGGGCTGCATTTCCCGTAGCGCCGGAGCTGTCCACAAAAACAAATATTATTTAGATTGGTTAGGTTAGAGTTAGTATATGAATATTTGGTCGCCTTCGGCGACCAGGACGCCGAGAAGCCGAGGCTTGAATAAACAATTACTATTTAGATCGGAGCTGTCCACAAAAACAAATATTATTTAGATTGGTTAGGTTAGAGTTAGTATATGAATATTTGGTCGCCGAAGGCGACCAGGACGCCGAGAAGCCGAGGCTTGAATAAACAATTACTATTTAGATCGGAGCTGTCCACAAAAAAAATATTATTTAGATTGGTTAGGTTAGAGTTAGTATATGAATATTTGGTCGCCGAAGGCGACCAGGACGCTCGAGAAGCCGAGGCTTGAATAAACAATTACTATTTAGATCGGAGCTGTCCACAAAAAAAAAATATTATTTAGATTGGTTAGGTTAGAGTTAGTATATGAATATTTGGTGAAGGCGACCAGGACGCCGAGAAGCCGAGGCTTGAATAAACAATTACTATTTAGATCGGAGCTGTCCACAAAAACAAATATTATTTAGATTGGTTAGGTTAGAGTTAGTATATGAATATTTGGTCGCCGAATTTTCAATTATTTTTAATATTAAAATCGAATACAAAAATCGATTTTCACTTTTAAAAAAATCGATTATTTTTCACATCCCTATTAATTTTATAAACTTAATCGGCCATTTTGAATGTGGTTTATGCTAGACTAGCGGTAATTAGTTTTACAGTGCAAAGTTTACTTTATAAATCTTTATAAAATTTTTGACGCGTTTCCGGAGCAAAACTCACTTGGAGGTGTTCCAATGAAGGTCCTCCGAGACTCCTAAATAATTAGTATCGTCAAAAAAGTGCGATGGTATTCAAAACTGTTACCAATTGACCTCTCAAAACATCGATCTTTCATATTGATCTAACTATTGCTATCTACTAATCGTCAAGACCTATCATATTGGCCGTGATAGCAAAACATTGGTCTCTCAAACTGACCAACCAACCATTGTAACTGTAACTAGAACGTGTATGAGAAATACAAAATCAGGCCCAAATATGTACCTAACATATTTGGTATTTTATGACACTCAGTCAACACCTTCTTGTAGCAGCGCTTGTTTGTTTTATTTCCTTTTATAATATAATAAAAGCGATTATCAAATTGTGAACAATATAATTATGAACAATATAATAAAAACAACAAGCGCAGCACACAGGTGCAAACTCGTGACTCATTGTTACTAACGCGCATTATTTCGTTTGGCAGGTTGGCCGGTACTTATTTTATGAAACCTTTTCGTTTGTTGACAATATAAAAGACTGATAAAACAGTCACGGTCCAACATTATATAAAAACAAACTTACATTTCTCTTTCACACGCGTTCCTTCCTTACATACCATGTTTCCTTATGTCTTTCAAAACTCACATTCTCCGTCGTCGCCACTTGTAAAATACTCAGAAACACCACCGATAGGTACACTTTATAAGCGGTACGATCCCAGAACTCAAGTAACGTCCGCACGCCACGGCGGTAGGCAGTCGACTGACCCCCACTAGTGTGCTTCGGTATACTTAGCTGGTGTAGGTAGATATTGAGCTATGACTTTTTTCAGAGGGCAATGGACACCAGCCTCATCTGATTGTAAGCTCACCGCCCCTCAATAATGTCAGTCGGCCTTTTGATTATTAGTATGATTATTTCCTTGCGGGACTCAAAGTTAGTTAAAAAGTATTTCGGAGGGCACCTACGGTTCCTTATACATACAAATTATATTAGACATACATCTCATAGCAAACGACTAAGGTGATATATACTTTAGTGCCAAAGGTCATAAAACACAGAACGAACTTTAAAATGTATCCTAGCATATTTATGTTTAATTATTACTGTACAGCTTAGCCTAAGTATTCTATTGATAATATTTTCTTGAAATGTTTCCAATATTGTCAGCGACACATCACACATGTAGCTTACTCAAGTTGGGATATTTTTATTTTACAACGCCATAAAGTACGCCACGTGAGAAATATCTCCCACTAAGATCAGTTGAGTCTACAAATTCTTTTATAACAACAAAGCAACTACGCAAGGAAACAAGTACTGCTAATATTAATATTGCCATGGCTATTTTTAGTTTTTGAAACACAGTTTTTTTTTAAAAAAAAGAGCGTACCAATAAAAAACACCCGACCATTAAAAATCACAATACACTATAGCATAAAAAACGCCTTCTAACAAAATCTAAGTAGTATTAAAGCCAAATAATTTTCTATACATGATAAAAATGTTTCCTTAAACAAAACGTTTTATTACTTTTAATAAGTTTGACGTAATAAAACAGGTTTTTATATTCGATAGTAATTATAATCATAATGAATTGATATAAGTAAGTGATATACATATTTATTAATAATATAATAATTAAACGATTTAAATATAAATTCACCTAGAGACTTAAAAAAGGTAGACTCAAATTAAATCTACCTTCTCAGCGTAATGTGACAAAAATTAGTGCCCGCAATTGCACATTCATCGTGATTCAGGTAACGCGCAGCGTTCAATGTTTAAGAGTGTATGAGTTTATAGAATTAAACAAAAGCAGCGATGTCTGACAATGCGATCGACAAAATGAGCCCTGAAGATCGTTGTAATCCGGTGAAAGCAGTGAAAATTGGTTATGTGGAAATATGGTAAGTACATACTTATTTGTAAAAGAAATTTGTATCAATATAACAAACGAACCAGTTTAAACTGGTAAACTCCGATACAATTGTACACATGTTGTATCGTAGATACGCACTAAAAATGTACAAAGTGTATTGTGTAGTACTTTCTATAAAATGTTGATGTATGTAGCAACAAATATAGGGCACTAAGAAAAGAAGAAAACAGACGTCACTCAGAATAGACTTTTAAGACGAGTGAATTTGTTTTTTTTTTCGGAGGGTTTTTAAAAAAAAAAAAAAATTTTTTTTTGTGTTGGGGAAAAAAAAAAAAAAAAAAAGGGGGGGGTTTTTTTTAAAAAAAAACCCCCCCCCAAAATTTTTTTTTCTTTTTTTCCCCCCCCCCCCCAAAAAAGGATAATTTTTAAAAAAAAAAAACAAACCCCCCCCCCCCCCCCGGGGGCGCCGCCCCCCCCCCCCCCCCCCCCCCGGGGGGGGGCCCCCCCCCCCCCCCCCGGGGGCCCCCGCGGCGGCCCCCCCCGGGGGGGCCCCCCCCCCCCCCCCCCCCCCCCCCCGGGGGGCGGCGGGGGGGGCCCGCGGCGCCCCCCCCCCCCCCCCCCCCCCCCCCCCCCCCCCCCCCCCCCCCCCCCCCCCCCCCCCCCCCCCCCCCCCCCCCCCCCCCCCCCCCCCGCGCCCCCCCCGCCGCCCCCCCCCCCCCCCCCCCCCCCCCCCCCCCCCCCCCCCCGCGGGGGGGGGGGGCCCGCCCCCCCCCCCCCCCCCCCCCCCCCCCCCGCCCCCCCCCCCCCCCCCCCCCCCGCCCCCCCCCCCCCCCCCCCCCCCCCCCCCCCCCCCCCCCCCCCCCCCCCCCCGGGGGGGGGGGGGGGTGGCCGCCCCCCCCCCCGGGGCGGTGGTTGGCCCCCCCCCTCGTTTCGGAAATGGGGCTTCCAAATACTTAAATCCCGAGAAAAGCGTCGCAGTTCTCTTCGCCAGGGGTAACCCCGGTGCTCTCGCTCACTCTCGGGAAAAATTCCGCCTCAAAAAAGAGGTAACCCTATACTGGCAAGCCATCCCTTGGTAAAAGTCCGTCAAATATATGGGAGTCACGCTCAATAGCGGCATGTCTTTCCGTAAGCATATAGCACCCGTTCGCAAGAAGGCCTTTTTTGTCCTCCCTCGCCTCCATTTCCACCTAAATAAAAGGAGTCACATGTCCCTTAAACACAAGGTGACACTGTACAAGGCCTGCATCCGACCGTGCATGACATAAGCAAGCGTAGTCTTTGCGCATTGTGCCCCCTCCCATATCCACCGGCTACAAGTGCTTCAGTCGCGATTCCTGAGAATCGCGACTGGTGCCCCCGTCTACGTGAGAAACGTCGATCTCCACCACAACCTGGAGCTCCCTACCATAGCCCAATGGATGAAGTTGGCGTCCACACGCCACTTCGACAAGGCTAAACACTATCCCAACCCGTTGGTGCGTAAAAGCATCAATTACTACCCCTTCCCGACAAGGCTCGTAGGAGGCCCCGACACACACTAACGGATCCGGACGATCCAATTACCGTAGCTAACAATAAATAAAAAGCCGCCCGCGCGGCCAATTATAATAACCAAAATCAAAATCAGATTAGAGTAAAAAACCGCCTTCACCGGGGAAGGCGAGGACCTTTACTTCGTACTTCGCTCACTCCAGTGAGCTTCCGTCCTGCCCTTAAGGCGATTGACCACCCCGCGACGGCCCAAGCCGAGGTTCGAGTCTCACAGGCGCTCACGCTCACGACTAGTCGCGGGAAAACGCCCATTCAGGCCGAGCTACGCTCGCCAAAACAGCCCGAGCTGAGCTGTAAGCCTTAAGGCCAACAGCGAGATTCCTTTCAAAAAAAACGACACTTAAAAATTGGTATGAAATATGTGCTCGGTAAATGATCGTTCAACTATGCATGAATGCATTTTTTATTAAATTATTTTAATTAAAGGTGAACTCCGAAGCAAAAAGTTTTTTACCCTTAATCTGTTTAAAAGGTTTTAAAAACATTAAAATAACAGTTATGTAAATAATAGTAAAAATGATTATAATCTTGCAATTCCTTTGTACATAAATCAACCTAAAATTTTACATTAAACAACAATTTCATCAACAGTAAACCCCAGTGATCAACCTATTTTTTTATAACTATTTTATTACAGTCGGGAAATCGGCCGAGCTCATCGTCGGCTCCCTGCTAAAAGTTTAATTGCTATGAATAGAGTTACCAAGTTCTATCAATCAGAAGCTAACGAAATCCTCAAAGGTATGTATGTATACTCGTACATGTACCTGGTATATGTTTTATATAGTAGGTATTTACTAATTAATTACCATGTTTTTACTAGAAGCCCATAAATCTCTTCATCAAATAGTTTTTAAAACAATACCATTTTATAAATAAGGAAAATTAAAATAAAAAAATAAAATAAGCTTTTCTCTTGAGTTTTTGGAATTTGGATTTATTTTTTGATTGGTATATTTAGGTTATTCAGGTCACTAATATTATAAATTGAGTTTTTTGAATGTGAAATTCAAATACATTAATTTTGGTTAACTGTTACTTTTTGCATATACCTCAAAAAACGGTAAATGTAGAGTAACATGAGCCTAGTTATAATAGATCCTTTAAATGCACAAAATATTTTTTAAATAATAATTTATCATGTTTGAAAACCAAAGAATGTTAAAAGCTTTTCAAACAAATCTTTATTCGTTATGTAAAAAAGATAAACAATTTCAGAGTGCAGCAAACTAGATCGAATGTTGATACGAAGAAATAATCCAGAAGCCGAAACTGAGAGTAATTCGACGGTGTCAATCGAAGAAATTATGTCTGGGATAAAATCGGCTCGAAAAGAATCTTATGTTAGTGAAAAATCGGCTTCAGAAGGTACACACAAAAACCACACCCGAAAAGCATCATAAAAATTCACAGACCAAGCAAAACGCAACTAAATCTAGTTTTGTTTTAGAATAAAAAAATAAAAAATTATTTCCTTGAAATTAATAAATCAGTGGCGCTACAACCTCTTTAGGTCTTGGCCTCAGATTTCTGAATCTGTTTCATGATCATTTTTAAATCTAAGAGGCAAGTAGGTGATCAGCCTCCAGTGCCTGACACACGCCGTCGACTTTTTGGGTCTAAGGCATGTCGGTTTCCTCACGATGTTTTCCTTCACCGTTCGAGCAAATGTTAAATTTGAGAAATTCCATTGGTGCACAGCCGGGGATCGAACCTACGACCTCAGGTATGAGAGTCGCACGCTGAAGCCACTAAGCCAACACTGCTCTCCTTGAAATAAAATACATGGCAAATAATATATATACATGGCAATAGAACGTTTGCCGGGTCAGCAAGTATACTATAATAATTCTCGTTGCACAGTTTTTGTAAGCTCCTCTGGAACTACTTGACCGGTTTTATAATAAAAATCGTGTATATTCGGTAGGTCAGGAATTCTCTAAATAATAGGGCCCACGCAATTTTTTTTATTGATTATCCATTTTTTTTTATTTATTGAGAAATTTATTTAAAATACATGTTATTTACATTCTCCTACCACCAAACTCTACTTTTAATAGCGATATTAGTACTGTTATAATCGGACCAGCCAATTTTATATAAGTTATTTATCGAACAAATAATATTACATATTAATAAAAACTATTTTGACCGGAATTTTGTCTTACTATTTCAACTCATTTCACATATTTTTACATTTCGTTTGCGTGGGTGGTCCCCCGGCCCCCCCGCCCCTCCCCCCCCCCTTGGAGGGTGTGAATGTTTTTTTTTTTTTTTTTCTCCAAAACAAAACCAATTTTGTAAAATTTTTTAGATCCTTCAAAGTTGAACGATGCGACAATCGATGATGAAGAATTTTCTACTGAAACAAACCCTGGTAACAATATTGACGCTGGTAAGGACATCAGTCTACTGCTTCTGAAACTAATTAGGTTTAGTAATGTATTGATAAAAGTCTTTGACAGTAATGCATAGATTCTTCATATAATATCTATAGTAAACTACACGAATTTTATTTCTGCGATATATGTTCTTTCTTTCGTATATAGTATTACTTATCTATTACATAAACTTATTGATATTGTATAGCCCTCGTACTCTGTGCAGTTCTTTCCAACAATAATTAGTATAAAATATATAGGGGTAATTAAATAGTAAGAGTACAACATTAAAGTTTATATTCTGAAACGAGACTTTTAAGTAGGTATGTTTCGTATATCAACAACGAATTGGATTATCCTTAATTGTCGCTGCCGATCTTACGCATTTCCAAAATTCAAAACAGTTTTCAGTTATTAATTATGTTCTTTTAAATAATATTAATTAATGCAATAATGATATATCACTATATAAAGGGCATTAAGATCAAAGGTCGGTCAAGGAAACTCTTCTTTATTTAGCTACAAAGTTGTTATTCAGCGACAAATAATAATAAACAAGTCTTATAAGAATATATTTAATTACAGCCGGATATGAAATTATAACTTCAACTCCACGCAATTCTTCAAAACAGAAGACTACAAATTCAAATGGTAAGAATTTTAAAATGATTTCAACATACACTAAAGGTTAACGCTACGATGTATCCACGACGAACCACCTCCACTTGTCAAGCTACTAGAAGTTACACTCGCATGTGGCCGTCTTCTAACGAGACTTATACGTGACGAATACGCGCTGGAAGTATGAAAACTTTGTTAGATCTTATATACGAGTATAGCCGTTAGGACGGTGGCTTATTTCCGGTTTGTTTTGTTTTGTTTTACATATCACTATGGTCGTTCTGTATGTTAGATTTACAGATGTTTTACATAATTTTTAACTGGTCAGATAAATTATGATTATTGTCAATATTTTATACGGACATGATGCACATAAATGCTATTGGTTAAAGGAAACCAAGCCAAAAAATTATGGCAAACTGCTGAATAACTTGAGATACGCTGATGACACGATCTTAATCGCAGAGAGCCTCGATGGTCTACAGAATTTAGTCAATTCAGTTGCCGCCGTGAGTTCTGAATTTGGTATTAGCATCAATGCGAAAACGTCAAAATATATGACAATAAGCCGAACACCGGAGCTTTTCTCGCAACATATATACCTCAACAATCAGACCTTGGAACGTGTCTCGAAAATACGATATCTAGGCACAGTGATTGATGAAAAGGGTGACCATAGCATCGATATCCGCTGCAGAATTGAACAAGCTCGGAACGCCTTTTCAAAACTAAAAAAAGTACTTTGTGACAAGCGCCTAAATTTACAGCTTATGGTGGCTGTACACACTCGGCGAGAGCCTCTCGCCGAGAGTCTCGACCGAGAGGACCGAGAGAAGAGCGCAGCCTGTACACACTCGTTACGTTATTTGTATTTAAAACACCGTTAATAATGGACGTGGAAACCGCTGCTGCTGTTTGTCTTTGTGCAATAAGTTATTATAATTTTCTTCACGTTTACCATAAAAAAAAATTACGAAGCCATGGCGAAGAAGAAGATGGTGGATGGTTACTATGCACCGCAACAGAAATAAGTAATTAGGTTCATAAAGTTACGTCCACGGTACGTAGCCATGAGTGAATCTCGCTTTTTCTTTAGTTCCTCAATTGGGATATCCATCGGCCGGCTTATTCGCATCCAAGCATCATGTAGAGATTGTATATTTTTGTGTCCTACATCCTTCGGATTCCATAACAACGATTCCCTTTGGTAACACTCCTAAAACTCTAATTCGCGTTCGTTAGACCACATTGTGCGATACGTCCTGTCACAACCACAGTCATCGAGCAAGTGATTGAACGAGTGTGTACAGGTCGCTCTCGTTTTACTCGCGAGACCCTTTGACTCGTGCGCAAAAAACCGACAGGCGACCGAGAGAGGCGAGACCGACTGCGAGGAAGCGAGGCGAGACGAGAGCTCTACTGTACACTCTCGCCCTCGGCCTGTCTCGGGGTGTCTCGCCGAGTGTGTACAGCTACCATTATAGAACTCGCATTGCGCGATGTAACGTCTTCTCTGTGCTGCTCTACGGCGTAGAATCTTGGACACTGACAGAGACTATGTCCAAAAAACTGGAAGTGTTTGAGATCTGGGTTTATCGACGTATGCTTAAAATATCTTGGACAGACCGCATACGAGATACAACCGTGCTGGACAGAATGCAGAAGAACAAAGAAGTGCTTATGACGGTTGGACACATTTTACGTAACTCCAAAAAATATGAGCTCCTTCTAATCATCTTCTAATCATACAAGGCAAAGTGGCAGGTAGAAGGAGACCTGGCCGCAGACGCACGTCCTGGTTGAAAAACTTGAGACAATGGTTTGGTCAAAGCACCAAGTCATTGTTTAGAAGCGCGGCAAGAAGCCGAGTTGGGGAGGCTTGAATAAACAATTATTATTTAGATCGGAGCTGTCCAAAAAATCAAATATTATTTAGATCGGTTAGGTTAGGTTAGTATATGAATATTTGGTCGTCGAAGGCGACCAGGACGCCGAGAAGCCGAGGCTTGAATAAACAATTATTATTTAGATCGGAGCTGTCCAAAAAAACAAATATTATTTAGATCGGTTAGGTTATATAAATATAAGGTTATATAAATATTAATATACGGTTAGTATATTAATATTTTTTTAAAATAACTGTTCATCTGAAACTCGAAATCGAATACAAAATCGGATTCAAAATCGAATACTAAAATCGATTTTCACTTTCACAGAATAGATTATTTTTCACATCCCTATTCATTTTATAAATAAAAAAAAATAAAAAAATAAATAAACGCAATCGGCCATTTCGAATGTGGATTTTGCCAGAACAGTGTGTGTTCACAGTGATCAAGTGCAAAATATCAGTTAAAAAGTCGTTACTTTTTACGTTTTTTTTATTTTTACGTGAATGTGCGTTATTTTATTAGCATTGTTTTAAAACTTGGCTTTACATACATACTAGACACTGATTTCTTGCGATCATTTTCAGATTTCCTGTAAAATAGGTGAGTTTTTTTTTTAATTTTTTTTTGTTCTCACCCCCCCCGCAACCCCAAATTTGGGCGCATCGTTTTCGCATCGTTACCCAAAATTGTTGCTATTCATGATCGGTGATTAAATTTTTATAAATCAATAGAAACGTTGAAAGATGATTTTTCAGGGTCAAGGAAGAGAACAAGAACATTTTCGCGTGCAATTAGCACACAGACGGAAGAAGACCCACAAGTAAGTATTCATGTTATTCTTAACAACTATGAAAGCATGACAAGATAGCTTTAAAACGCTGTTTAATAAATCTTATCACAAAGCAACTAAATACGTCAGTACAATTCAAAGAAATAAATAGTATTGAACAATCTTTATACTGGTAATATTTTTTAATGTTATAGAAATATTGAGGTGCTTTCGTAGATACTTGATTCGTAGCTACGTGCATTCAGAGCTTTTAATATAAATATAGCCTGTTACTCAGGAATTGTAGTGAAATAATTTTTAAATCGGTCCATTAGCTTTTTAAGTTTAACCGTTACCAAATACGAATCTTTTAAAATATTAGTATAGATAAAGTTACTCTTAAAGCCTGCATCTTTTATCATTATTTTTATACACTTTTTTTTTATTTGACGAGCAGTATTGGCCTAGTGGCTTCAGTGCTAATATCATACCTGAAAACGTAGGTTTGATCCCCTAGGACGGCACCAATGGACTTTCTTTCTATGTGCGGATTTAAAATTCGCTCGAACGGTGAAGGAGAACATCGTGAGGAAACCGGCTTCACTTAGATCCAAAAAGTAGACGGAGTGTGTCAGGCACAGGAGGCTGATCACCTACCTGCCTATTAGATTAACAAATGATCGATTAAGAAACAGATACAGAGATCTGAGGCCCAGACCTAAATAAGGTTGTAGCGCCACTGATCTATTTATTTTATTGATTTGGCTTCAGGCGTGCCAGTTTCCGTTTAATTTATATCTCACGAGTATTTTGCGCACATAAATAGAACAATTCATTGTTTCGAACTTACAACCAAAGGTTTGGGAGTCGCATGCCTAGGCACTATGGCGACACTACTTTTCTGACTGCGCGTTAAACGTTATCTTTATTTTGCAGCCTTCCTCAAGTCGCCAGCGCATACAAAAGCCTCTACTACCTTCTCTTCCATTTGGGCAACTTATTGTCTTGGATAAGAATGGAACTCCATGTAAACTTGTCATTATGTCAATAAACCCAAACTACTATACTAATTTTAATAAATAGTTACTATGATAATTTTAACTGTTTCTAAATCTCGGTGACTATGACAACTGATATCTGTGGTATCTTTGTTGTCGGCAATTGACTAAATGATTTTGACATTTGATTAAGATTCACCGTGCAATTTTCTACTAAATACGTATACGTAATTCTTTGACATTAAATTGTGTTAGTAGTAGTCTGGCTTGCATCTGCTGAATAGCAGAATTTATATTCAAATAATTAAAAATAATCTTATTAATTCCAGAAAATAAGAGTTCAAAATTTTATTTCTCGTCAGCTACAGCTTTAAGCTACTGTAAAATTTGATTAAGATAGCAGTAATTTTAATACATTAAATACGTCGATAGTTTTGTTTTTGATTTTATACGTCAATTACAAGTACAAGAATAAACAAAAAATGTTCTATGTGGCTTTCGTTTTTACACTATGGATATGCCTTTTGTCAACATTTAATTTTTAGAGTGTACCTGTACACTCTGTAACATAGATACAGGCAGACTATAGTGATAATGTGTATTAAAATTGATTGTTATAATTAAATTAAATATGTATATATAAAAATTAACTGTTTCATTCTCCATTCTAACGTCTTTAAAACGTAAACCAAATATCAAAAATTTCAGTATAGAAAGAGGTAACCCTAGGAAACCATAGCACCATTTTGCAAGAAGAATGCCCGCTCTAATTATTAATATTCCACTTACTATTGTACTAATATTTGGAAATTATGAATTTGCTGCAGAAGGGAAATTTTGCTGTGGGAGCTTCAAGCCAAGTGTGCTTAACAGTAACTAAGGTTTGCCCGGAACGTTCAAGAGATACTACAAAATGAAAATACATTTTTGGTATATTTCATGATAGCAATTTATTACGTAAATCTGGACCAACCTTATACAAATACTAGGTTACATTAATTAAAATTGTTTTATGATGACGTCTAGCACTCATGGACCATCAGTACCAAATAATTTAATAAACATAAAAAATTTAACATTAAGGTACTATACATATTTTTATTTATTAAAGCTCTATATGTTCGGGATTGGGATAAAGTATAAAGATATTTAAAGGGAATTAGTGGGGTGAGAGTCGTGCCCGGTACGACGTTTGAATGCGAACTAACTTAAGTGAATATAATAAAATATAATACACTAGCAAATCGTATTGCATGGTGTCATTTACATTGCAAATACCTATTATAGCCTATTGCCGTGGCATGTGAAAGCACATAATGACATAAATGATCGTGCACTTTGCTAACGTATTGTCGTAAATACTTGAAGCTCCTCTCAGTTTCCCCTTACCCTTTGGTGATAGCTCTTTACTTGACAACAAGGAAAAATTTCTTGAACATGTAAAATATTATTCTTGAATCGATGTCAATAACACCTATACATTTTTTTTAGAATTGGCATAAAATAAGCAAATATCTCAAACATGGTGAACAAAATAATGACTAGTACAACAAGTTTTACGATTGAAGACACATATTCTTTGAAAACTTATATTTTGAATGGTAATGTATGCTGTTTGTACGTAAGTTACTGACGACACACTACTGACGCAGGCACACATCGTCTCTCGTCTTCAGCCCACATCGTCTCTCGTCTTCAGCCCACTGGCCACAGACCACGGACAAACACCGCGCGCCCCACAGACCCTGTATTAGCAATTTTGTTTGCGTTTTACTGCCTTCTGCCCATCGAGCCTTCTGGCAATGTGCGTGTGCATAAGCGGCGGCATCACTTAACATCGTGTGATGTGTGCCTCCTGTTACATTAAAAAAACCTTCCGAAATAAGTTTGAGACATTTCAATAAGATACGTAAATATAATACATTACTTTTTTATCGCTGTAAAACATTTGAACAGTGTATCTGACAATTATTGAGAAATGGGTTTATTATTTGTCGGTTACCACACGGTGTAATTTAGGATTGTTCAGTGTTCTAATGAAATGCTATGAAAAAGTAAGCATTGTAAAGAATTAAATAGTTCATTTAAAAAATCATTTTATTAATAAATATATAATAATTATGAATTTTTAGACTGTAAATAGACGAATAACCTATGACATAAGTTTAATTATTTTGTTAGAATGGCTTATTTACTCTTATTTATTAATGTTTGCCTGTTAAATACCTAGTTTAAAATTTGACATTGATTCATGTGTTTCATGAAAACAAAACGAAAAGGTTTCCTAAAATTCCTTTTTTATAAGTACAGATAAGATAGTTTTTATCTACATTATCTATAACCCGCACACATTCTAACATACATAATATAATTTTAAATTTATAATAATACATAACTTCAATCCGGTTAAACAGTTTTATCTTTAAATGTGTAAAGGTTATGTAAATCAAAGACAATACTATACATAACATAATAAAAATTGAACATAGTTAAATGAAAAGAAGGGCAACTGGCGGCCTTATCGCTTTCGAACGATCTCTTCCAGGCAACCATTGTGATTTTTTTTATTAAATTTGATAAAGTAAGCAAGAAGTGCACAAATACATAATACATATAGTTATTATATATTTATCTATAATTAACATAATTTGCCTATAAAAAGGTGAAAAGGCGGTTGCCTTACAAAACTGCAAACAACATTATTGGAAAAGTGTCCGACAGAAATAGAAGATCTAGGCTCACAAAGTCATGTTCATATTGACCATATGAAATGCAATTTCATATACATACATCTCAATAATAACTTACATTTAGACTTTTTTCTGTTTTGTTTTACCGGTATATTGAATTGTTTTTATATTATTTTAGTAATCAGTTTTCTATTACAATAATATTACGTTACTGTAAGCATAGAATATAAGGAAATAAACAAATGAATATTACAACTTTATTAATATTAGAACGTATATAGTGTATACGGCCTTTACATATATATACAGTTATAAATGTTCATTGTAAAATGTTCTTTTTAGTAAAAAATATTTAATTTACTTATCGGTCTTAATTTAAGCATTAGGTCTTAAAATCCAGTCACGTCTTAATCAAGAGACAATTTATGAAGAATAAAATATTGAAGTAGGTTTCTGTGCCCCGTCATCTCGTCTGGTTAAATTGTTCGCTGATATAAAACAATTCTCGATAAATGGACTTTCCAACACGAAACGATGAAACAACCTTAATTTTGTTAATTTGTTTTTCATAAGTAGTATTTTATATTATGTATACGTTAAAAGTAAGTTCATTAAATTTTTCATAGCAAATTAAAAAATATGGTTGCATTCATTGATGAGTACAGTATGATATAAATTTGTATATTTGGATAGTTAAAAAATTAATAATGTACCAATGTGCACTCACCTTGGCTTGAATTGTAACCCTTACCACTCAGACGTCACTTGTCCAAGATAATCTTTTATACTCGTAATCCATCACTTCTATGCACTTATGAAACATTATTAAATTTATCAAACTTTTTTAAGTACTGATATATCTGATATTTTCCATCATATGTTTAAAATTACGGTTGAATCGAATTTATACAACCTTAAATATACAGGCGAAGGTTCAATGTAAAACCAATTTATAAATCCCTGTTTAAATAACCCACTCGCAATCACATCTCTAGCTTATTACGAGTTTTATTCGCTCCCGTTCCCATTCAATTTTCTCAGTCATCAACCATTCATTCGGTCATTCATTCTCGGTACATAATCATTCGGTCTATTTGTTTTGTGCGTACGAATTTGCAAATTTTCCAACGTACAGAGTATATAATCAATTTTGTTATTCAAATAACACTGAAAGGTTTTTATTGAAAGGAATATTTATACGCAAAATAAGTAATATAATTTATTGAACAGCCCATCTGCGTTACCAAAAATATTTTTTTTAGACTATTAGACTATCGACTAAAATTACTTATTACCTATAAAGTATACTTGAAAAATATATTTTACTAGTAGACCGGGCCACGCGTTGCTGAGGCTAAGGTTTTTGTTATATTAAATAGTAGTAAACTATTCAAGGGAACCGGTAGGAGAATACCAGTCAAGGGGACCACCATGCTTCTTTGGTGGTTATGCCATTAAATTGTAGTTTATGTGAAACGTTGGTACTGTCAACACAGCGCCATCTGTTAGAATTATGACTATCAAATAATAAACAAATATTTTATAAGAAAATAATATTGCGGCTATAAATTGAGATGTAAGCTATCCTATCTTTTAATTTGGATCAAACTACACACGGTGTGCAAATTTGATTGATATCGGTTCGGTAGTTTAGGAGTCCATAGCGGACAAACAACGTGACACGTAATTTATATAATATACTAGCAGACCGGCCAAGCGTTGCTGTTGCTAAGGTTTTTGTTATATTACGGAGTAGTAAATTATTCAAGGGAAACGGTAGGAGAACACCAGTGATGGGGACGGTGGGACCACCATGCTTTTTTGGTAGTTATGTCATTAAATTGTAGCTTATATGAAACGTTGGTACTTTCAACACAGCGCCATCTGTTAGAATTGTGAATATCAAATAATAAACAAATATTTTGAAATAAAGTAATATTGTGGGTATACATTGAGATGTAAGCTATCCTATCTTTTAAGTTAGATCAAACTGCACCCGGTGTGCAAATTTGATTGAAATCGGTTCGGTAGTTTAGGAGTCCATAGCGGACAAACAACGTGACACCTAATTTATATATATTAACTAGTAGACTCGGCCAAGCGTTGCTCTGGCTAAGATTTTTGTTATATTACATAGTAGTAAACTATTCAAGGGAAATGGTAGGAGAACTTATGTGAAAGGTAGATGACAGCTTATGTGAAACGTTGATAATTTTAACACAGTGCCATCTGTTAGAATTGTATCAAATAATAAACAAATATTTTGCAATAAATTAAAATTGCGACTATAATTTGAGATTTAAACTATCCTATCTCTCAAGTTGGATAGAACTGCACATGGTGTGCAAATTTGATTGATATCGGTTCGGTAGTTTAGGAGTCCATTGAGGACAAA